TTCCCCTCAAAGTTAATTAGGTGATGATAATAACAGCTTGTGTTTGTTGCAGTATGTGTCACCCATTTTTCTAAGAACTTTGAAAGTATACTTTTTAATATTTACAATAACTTTATGAAGGAAGTGGATTTTATATATTTTTTTAGATTTGAAAATTAGACTATAGAATACTTGAATAATTTGCACAGTAGAATTCAGTTTGGGTAAGTGAAAAAACTAGAACTTGAGCTCAAATTGTCTTTCTTATTTGTTATTTTTAATGACTACATGCTAGGTATTCTGTTTTCACATTGGTAGTCAACTGGTAAGTGTTTTCTTAGCCTTTCCCTAGGGTACTTTGAACTTCAGGCACCTTTTAGAAATTGGCAGTACAAAGCGGCTTGCAAGGAAAATGAAAGGAATTAAGAAATGTATTGAGTCTGAATACAAGGGGAATTTTGGGAAACAACTGATTGGAAATGGCAACATCAGAGAAAACATCACTGCAGAAGTTGGGCTTACAGTGTCATTGAAAAATTGGATAGGATAAAAAAAAATCAGTGAATCAAACACCATCCCTAGGTAGGGTGCATACCATGAACAAATGCTTAGGAATAAGGGGAGTGACCCGAAAGCCTGAAGGTGTTTAGACCTGCCTGCACATCTATAATGAGTAATTATATCTGCATTTTTTCCCAATCATTTAACAAATCTATGTGACAGGCACTTTACAGCTACTATGGAGATGTTTACACACTGACACAACAACTTCACTGCATGTTGGGGAGATATGAGAAACAAGATTAGCAAGCTAATACATATTTCAATCATGTAAAATATCTGTTTCTATGCTAATACATATATGGGTTTATATGCAAATAGTGAAGGACTTTTTTCTTACCAATGATACATAAACTACTCTAAAATTTTTTGTAGTCAAAAGATGTATGTGGGTTTTCAGTCTCATTTTGGTCATTAATTGACTACATAACTTTGACTATCAAGCACTTATTGGATGTATGTTGTGAAATCATTTTCTCCCATTCAGCAGATGTTTGTCATTTAACAATAGTTTATTTCATTGTGCAGAAGCTTTTTAGTTTGATTTCATCTCATTTGTTCATTTTTTATTTGGTTTCCCTTGCCACTGGAGTTAGTTCTCCAAGGACACCCCTGAAGTCAGTGTCATAGAGATATTTGTTTGTTTTCTTCTATGTATTTTATGGTGTTATGTTCACACATACATAGATGTAAACAATCTAAGTGTTTATATACATTGTCTTTTAATTCTCAAAGTCTATTTCTACATAATTGCATAAAGTTAAACACAAAATTCTGTGTTCAGCCTTGAGTCATACCAGTTAGTGTGTGTCTTGGGTGCTAGACTGAATCCTCACTACAGTTGAATTCTCTATGTTGTCCTGCAAAACTCGCTAAAATATATCTTTCCTTTTTTTTTTTTTTAAAGATTTATTTATTTATGCATACAGAACTGGGTACAGGCCAGATGTATGGTGGGTGAGAGGATTTACCAGAGATAGAGCGGAGAGCAGAACAGGCAGATTGACTGAAATACATAGCTGAAGGGAGCAGGGGCAGGTCAAGAGAGGTCTGCCACACCATGTGGGTCAGCTCCCTGGTGGGGGACCAAACTCATACTGCAGTAGCTTCGGAGAACTTCATAATGCGGTGCTTTAACCCTCTGTACCACCAGAGAGAGCCCCTAAAATACATCTTTTATGAAGACTTGCCTGATTTGGGGGCTTGTCTTTTGGGACAGTGAGCTTCTTTAAGACAGAACCTGTGTCTTGGTCATGGTTATAGCCTTAGTATCTAGAACTATCTTTTATACTACGGTTGTCTCTAACTACAGGTGGCTACATTTACTTTTAAATTAATTAAAGTCAGATAAAATTGAACATTTCGTTCCTCAGCCACCCTAGCTACCTTACAAATGCTCCCCAGTCAGCACATGTGGTTACAAGTTACCTTAACACTTGGGCAGTGCATGAGCATTTCCATCATCACACTGTCTAGAATGGTGATTTTCCCATGAGTTAGTTCATTAATTGCACAGATTAACATTTATTGTATGCATTTTTTGATGTTGGAATTGCCTCCATAGAGGAGATAGAGTGAGGACAACATCAACAACATGGCATGTCTCTCATTTTGCAGACAAAACAGAAATTAAGCAAGCCTAGAGAGGCAATATGTATATGTTGAACAGTGACTCATTCAGATTCAGTGTGGAAAGGTTCATTTTTGAGTTATCTGAGTAGCACTTTTTGTTAATCAGAAGCATGTTACAGTGAAACTATATAATCTTCTCTTGGTCTTTTGGTTTAAGCCAAGAGGGTTTCTAATCAATCTTGGCATAATAGCCATCTGTTGCTTTCTTCCTAGAGCCATTAAAGGGATTTTACAACTTAAACTAAATTGCCCTATTTTCTAGCTCAGATATGTACAGATCTAACCCACAGTTCCTACTAAAAGTGGGAGGAGAAAGACAGCATTTAACACAGCTGGAGGACTATTAGTGAGTTGCATTAAGACTAACATAAACAAAACCCTGTGCTGGCTTCCTGTACTCATGGTCTTGGGGGCTTTTTATTTCATTTGTTCCTATTATTTTCCTCCTATAAAATTAGTTTAACATGAGTTCTGAAAATCAAATTTCAGACAGGGGATAATAAGAAGTCTCACGAAGGATTTTAGACCAATATGTGATGATAATGTGCTATTCTTCTGAGAATCAGCTATAGTTTATTGGTAACTCAGAGGAATCACTTATGCTGTTGGCTGCACAAATAATAAGATTAGCAAGCTAATACATATTTCAATCATGTAAAATATCTGTTTCTATGCTAATACATATATGGGTTTATATGCAAATAGTGAAGGACTTTT